CTTTGCTGACTTTGTTTTTCAACTCGATTAGTGGCCTATTAAACCATATCGGTTGCTTCCTGATGATTTTTGTTTTTAACTGGACATGATTTTCGATTGTTGACTTTACAATTGTATAGAAATTGTTTAGTTTTATTTCTAATGAATTTGTATCGAATTCCTTAACCAGTTAACATCAAGAAGTGACTCATTTATTTGTTTATAGTCAGCATTTATGTAATCTCTATATGTTTGCTTTGTTTCAACTGTTTTGATGACAGGCTCATTATATTTGATTTCGATTGCATTGTGATGCTTCTCAAAATTCAATAAATGAAAGTCACTCATTGTGCATTGAAACAGTTCAACATCATTTGTCCATATCAAATCAAGCATATGACCATTTTGGTTGTAGCACTTGTTTATCTGAAGAAGACCAAGATCATAGCATGTGTCCAGCACTATTAATTAACGTTGCGAGTACTTCTGCTATTAAATTAAAGAATATTTCGATGCCAAGGTTTGAACATATTTTTGGTCTCGAACTTTACGCCGCTTGAAAGGCTTGAAAAATCGAACAAATCTTATTTTGAACTAGCTTAATAAAATACGCAACTACCACCGTGCGGAAAAGTTCGTCTTACTCCTGTAAGACTCTTTATTTTTGTTCGTTTGAAAAATCATTGAAAAAGCGTGCAATTTCCAAGACTGTATAAAATACAATTATTTTGTTTAATGTCATGAATGGCTTGGCCCCCCCTATCCAGCCTGGCAAATTTTTGCGATTGCCTTGATTGATTTTTGAATTTTAGTATGAAAATCGAAAAATTGACATTTCTGTCACACGCGTTGTGTCACAAATTGAAATGTTGACATTTTTGGGAGTCACAAATTTGTCACTAAAAGATGACACCATTTATTTGAATCTACGTATTCGATTTGAAAAATTTCATTGATTTTTGAATTTTAGTATGAAAATCGAAAAATTGACATTTCTGTCCCAAGGAGTGTGTCACAAATTCAAATGTTGACATTTTTGAGTGTCACAAATTGGTCACTAAAATTATGTCGAAGAATTTTTATAATTTTGCCCATTTTTATGAAAAGCCTTTTCAAATTTTCGATTAAAATCATTTTTGTGCATTTTTCAATTTTTTGTTCATTATATGTCCACCAGATGTCGTATCGAAAATCTAAAGTCATATTTGTGAGTCACAAATTAATCACCAAAATTCTGCATCATTATATTTTTATTTTTTGCTTTTATTCAAAATTTCACTGAGAGACTTTTTGGCCAATAGGCCTAAATAGAAAAATGGCCAAAATTGGCCGAAGGTCTATTCCATGGGCCGAAATATTGGTGTCACAAATTATCACAAATTAGTCACTAAATCCCTAAAAAGGTTTCAAGGCAATCGCAAAAATTTGCCAGGCTGGATAGGGGGAGCCGAATAGCTTGTCTCTCTTCGGACACCTTTTGTTATAGTGGCTGCGAGCGATAAATCGATTATCATTCGATATTTCTTTTGAAAAATTTAAAAAATTTCTTTTATCATTATCGATTTTTCTTTTTAATTCGACACTCCAATTTGTGCTGCGAAAGTTCATTCTCATTTGTAAACACTTTGCGGCAAATTGTACAAATAGGTGTGCCTGAAAAAAGATGAAAGAAAATCATTCGAATGAGACAAACTATTCGCACAAATTGAAATTTGTCTGCATTTTTACCGGGGGCTGCATGTTTCAGTTTTTTATGATTCGAAATCGACTTGAAAGACATTACTTGGCCGCATATATCACAGCTGACTTCATTCACTTTGTTCAATTCATGCTTACATTCGCGCCGATGTTTCGACAATTTATCTTTGCTGCAAAATAATTTGCCACAGTTTTTGCACAGATGAGCACCCGGCCCACCGTGCACGGCCCTTTTGGGATTATGATTCAACATAAAATTCGGGTCATGGCACATTAAATGTCTGTGAAAGGTCAATGTGGATCGGGTTGCTTTTTCACTTCCATCCAATTCGCCAATTTTATGCAATTTTTTTGTTTTCTTTCGAGTTCGACACTCTGTCTTGTGTTGCCATAGTTCGTCTTCGTTGGGGAAAATTTTGCGACAATTTCGACAAATGTGCGTACCTACGAAGTAGATGTAATTTTGATTAGAGCAGTTAAAATCAACGAGTAATTCAATTGAAAACGTACCTGGTGCCTTGTGTTTCAGTTTCTTATGATTTGAAGTGGACTTGAAAGACATTGCTTGTCCACAAATATCACATTCGGCTCTATCACTTTCGTTGCAACTCTTTCGTGCGCTATTCTTTTTCGATTGTTGTTCATTATTGTCATGTGTGTTGCTGCTCAAATACCGTTGCATACTCTCCAGATAACTATCGTCTTCAATAATATCCACTTGTAGCATTGGCTTTGATTCGGTATCATTAGTAATGATTCATTACTGATTTCATGACTTATTGCAAATTCATTGTTAATTGGCACGCCCCGTTGTTCATATTGTTTAAATAGTTTGCACACCATCGACGCAAATCGTTTTTTCGAATGTTGAAAAATTCGCTGGATAACAGACGCTGTTCAGGGTATACTGAGTTCCGGGCTTGTGCATTGGTTGATTGACATGACGTGATGCATTGTGGTGTGTAGTGTGTACCAATTGCTTCCGATTCGAATCAATTTTTGATTGCAATCCGTGCATGTCTCTTGAGCAAAATGCACCAAAATGTGATCGTCCTTTTCGGTGGCACTGCCAAATGTTTGTGGACAAAATAAACACTGGTGAACTGAAAATTTGAAGTTGAATCATTTCACAGTCACTTTGAAGTGAAAAAACTTTTATAATCGAGTTATTTGATTTCGTCAGACACTCACCTGCATGGATTGCAGCCATTATTTCTTAATAAATATTTGTTTCGGGCAAAATATCAATGAAATTCGTAGTTTTTCCACTTTTGACTAGCCTTTTAAATGCTTTATTTTTTTAGTGTCAAATTGTAATTATTGTTGACAGTCAAGCTGTCAATTTGATTCTAAAGTAAAACGAATTACTTTGACAAAGTACATTGTTGAATATAACTTTTTTTTAATGCCAGAGAAATAAAGGACATCATTTACAGAATAGAAAAATCGGAAAAATATTCTCGACTTTTCTAACTTTTATTTAGATCATTTTTGCTGTAGATTTTTTAGTTTTTAAGTGAAATTGGCATTAATTTAAGAAAAAATCAGTGGCGAAGACTTTGTAATGATTTGATGCCTAAACATCAATGTTTCCAAATACAAAATCCCATTTAAAACAATTCCTTGTTTTTGGTACTATTGCCCAAATCTCGAAATTTGCGAAATGATTCTCCAAAATAGTTATTGAATCAATTGGTGTATCAAGTTAGTGTGTTTCTCAAGCGAAGATTTCAATTGGAATGTTATTTTGCACGTCACACATTCATATTTGCCAATTTCAAAGCTTTCATTATTATTCCGTTTCCACAAACACAGCGATTTATGTGTTAAAAACTCTTCTTTGCCCGAAAATACTCTTGCGCAAAATTTACAGGCATGTTTTCCAATCGTAATGTGTACAATTCTCTTATGTTTCGACAATGATTCTTTTCTCATCACTTTGCCGCATATTTCGCACGGAACCGGGGCGCTCTTCTTATAACCTGGATCGTGGTGTTTTTGAATGTGCTTCTTCAGAGATGCCCTCAGGACATAAACCTTTCTACAAATGGTGCATTCAAATGCGCCCGACTTATCACAGACTTATTGCTTATGCTTCGTTAGCTGTTCTGCGTTGGAAAATGTTTTGCAGCAAAGCGTACATGCTGGTGTTCCTGAGAGACGGCAAACAAATATTAAACATTTCAACATGTCATCTTTCGTTTTAAATAGCTCTTACCTGGATCGCGATGGACGATACGTTTATGTTTCGATATTGTATCGATTCTCATCAGTTTGCCGCATAGATCACATTGCGTTGGCACCGTTTTTATCTTTTGTTCTGGATCATGATGGTATCTCACAGACAGGCCAAACCGTGGTCGAGATGTCAAATCACAAATGTCATTAGTTGTCCCTATCGAAATCTG